GGTTTTGGCCCCAAGAGTAGGGGGGTTTCAGGGGGGCTTGCCCCCCTGACCTAATAAAAACAAGCGTTACAAGGTGGGGGGTTTCAGGGGGGCATGCCCCCCTGAATTTTACCACAATTTAATGTTTTGCAGTTGTTAGGTTTGACATCTTAGCTTGCCGCGAATCAAACGTATATAGATCTAGATCTAGACGTAGGTCAGGCTCTATCAAAATCTAGATTCTAGATCTAGTTTTGACCCCAACTAAGATTTCTTCTGGTTCTAAGTCTAAACGATTACTTTTTGATTCGCGTGCTGATATGGATAGATAGCCTTTCAAACCTATATAATGCAAAACATCAAATCGTGGTCAAATTCAGGTGGGGAAGGCCCCCCCCCCCCTGAAACACCCCATGCTTTTTTTTTTAAGTCAGGGGGGCAACCCCCCTTGCCTTGTGAAAAACAAGTGAAATTTGTAGGCTAGATTTAAACATTGATTATTGATACCGACTATTTAAACAATACAAAGATAGTATACTACTACTACTAGTATTTTTTAAACTTATATGTGCACCCAGGAGATTAAAAGTAATGGAGGGGGCTCTCGTGGCCTAGAGGTTAAGGTGTTGGCCTCTCATTCAAAGGTCCCGGGTTTGAATCTGGGTAGCGACCAAAAAATTTTCTTCTCTAAAATTGTCTCCTTTCACCTACTTTCCTGCTCTCCAGCAATGTTCTGTTGTCTGCTTTCATTTCTACTTTCTGCCCCCACCCCCTCACCTCCTTTGCCCCCTCCTCTGGGCTCCTTACTCTTTCTGCAGCCTTTCTACTGCTACTCTTTGGTTCCTTCTTACTGCTGTCTTTCTGCCACACCCCTGATCTTCTGGTAGGAAAGATCTACACCTAGCCTTCTCGGACAAGGGCGAAAAATCTCGGAGGGCCTGTGTGCAAGTTGCGCACGTTAAAGATCCCTTGGTGGTCTAAAATCGATAAGATTAAGAGTAGGCTTCGGCCGCCACCCGGGCAAAATTCAAAATTTCCTACCAACCTAAAATACTAGGTGTGTCCCGCGCGCTCATATATGACCGTATGCAGTTGCGAGCGCCGTAAAACACTTTACAAAAACAAAAATAATGGAGGATGCTCTGTGGGCGGCACCGCACGCCTGATAGGAGTCTCGCGGCGGAACTGTGGGCTACCTGCGCTGCGTGATTGCCCGACTCAGGCACTGAAATCTAGATAAGAAAGGTTTTATTCCGAGGTCCTTGAGATTAGGCAAGTCAATTAGTTAAAATGCCTTGCACCTGTGTTGTATTTAAGTGTAAGAACCGATGATGCTGCAGTGGACCGCAGTTTTCACAGTTATGTTGTTTTCCTTTTATAAAATTTGAATGAAAGTGTTTCTATGCCCCCAGCAACACAATTTAAATAATTAATATTCATAAGAGGCTGGCTCCGGCGCTACATGCCAAGGCCAACCCAGGCTGAAAGGGATACAACACCCCAGCAGAAAGACCGAGATACTCAATTTTTTAAGAGTATTCTTATTCATGAATAATATAATTTTATAATGTGTATATAAGTATTATGTGTGTGTATATTATATACATATTATACATTTTAATTAAAGATATTGCTTTCCTTTGTGTGTGCAAATTAGATACTACTGTAGTCTATATTTGTAGATATCTAGAGGTTCCATTAGAACATGAAATCAATACTCAACAACAATAATGATGAATATTTTCTATGTTAATGAAACGCCAAACCATATCAGATGAGCGGAGAGGGTAGGGTGGGGTGGATAAGAGTTTGAGTCTTGTTAGAGATAGAACTATACTCGGTTTAATTCTATTGTTGTAGTCTTCGCCTAAGATCCCACAATCAATAATTCCGGTTCACTTAAGATTCTGCTGTTAAAAAATAAACCAAACAAAGCAACAACAAATTTTACAACACAAGAGTTATCACTAAGATAAATTATCCCACTCTGGAGTGTAATAAGGGACTAAAAATGCTGCTCTCCATTTATACTTTACTGTAAAAAAAAAAACCTTCAAAGGTCATCCACACTCATGCATGCGATCACACCTCCAAGGGTGCTTATCTCTTTTTTTTGTGTTGAATATTTGAAATCATTGTGCGCTCCACTTTGTGAAAACCAGGAAACAAAATTATTGTGATCAATAATATTATTTATAGACCAAGACATACTGTTAGCAATTAGATAAAGCAAACATCGACCCTCTTGTGTGTCCGCTATTCCTTACACACATAAAGTTAGTTATGGCATACGCCTAGAATCATGCAATCATATACATCTTAAATTCAGTTTAAAAGTATATTTTTATCCATTTCTTAATATAATTAAATATTTTAGCATCTTGAAAGATTATCTTTATAATTTGGTATGCTTGATAATTTTATGTTACTCGGACAAGTTTTCTTCTTATTTTACACATCTTTTTGATTTTTAAACTACATTATAACATAAAACTCTTAAAGAATTGAACAGTCCGTATCACACACAGAATTTTTTTTTTTTCTCCCTGTCATTATCCGTCAGCCTGTCAGTTGATCACAATCTTTCTCTCTCCTCTCTCTTTCTCTCTGTCTGTCTGTCTGTCTGTCTGTCTCACTCTCTCTCTCTCTCTCTTTCTCTCTCTCTCTCTCTCTCTCTCTCTCTCTCTCTCTCTCTCTCTCTCTCTCTCTCTCTCTTTATTATTTAATTTTTCCCATTCTCCTTCGTCCCTTCCCAAGGCCCGCCCCTCCTCTTTCATCCCAACCCCATCCCCTCTTCCTTGCGTGCATTCCCCCACCCCGCCCACCCCCACAACGTGGCCCAGCCCGATAAGATTCTATAAAAAGAAACGCCACATTTCGTTATTTAGCCCACAGTCGGTGGCCATATTTGATCCCCACCGCGGCATACTGCTCGCAGCGCCGCGAAGAGAGAGAGGAGGCTCCATTAGTTCTAAGCTCCTTGATGTGCACCCACACACAGGTCAGATGCATTGATGTGAGGGCTAAACTGCCCTCTAGACTCTATATTTGTTGTAGAACTCACGTATGGCCACTAAAACCCTTGCAAATCTATTGTTTTCAAGTAGATCTATATCAATCCTAATTGCCAATTTAACATCAAATCATTGTGAAAATGAAATGCAGGGGGGCCCCTGAAACCCCCCAGATTCTTTTTTATATATCATCTTTAAGGGGCACAACTTACACACGGGACATCCGGGATTTTTCAGCCACACCCTTGATCTTTTGGTAAGAAAGATTTACACCAAGCCTTCTCGGACAAGGGCGAAAAATCTCGGAGGTCCCGTGTGCAAGTCAAGTTGCGCCGGTTAAAGATCCCTTGGTGGTCAAAAATCGATTTATAGAGTAGACTTCGACCGCCACCCGGGCAAAACTCAAAATTTCCTACCAAATGAAAATGTTTGGTGTGTCCCGTGCGCTCATATGACCTTATATATATGCAGTTGCGAGCACTGTAAAACACTTTATTAAAAAAAAAAAATGTTGAAACAAACATCAGAAATGGATTCCTCATAAAATTTCCTCTCAAAAAATGTATTCTGACTAGTCATGTACATTTTTACTAGTGACTTTCCTTCCATGGATTGCCTAAAGATGTCTAGTTTCTTTTTCAGCTACCATCATGTCCAGTCTATCAAAAGTCCAGCTGTACTGTGCGTGGTTTTGCCCATTTGCTCAGAGGGCTTGGATAGCTCTGAATGAGAAGCAGGTTGACTATGAGTATATTGAGACAGACCCTTACAATAAAACACCTGGTAAGTTCTCGAACATTTCAGCATTGTTATATGTCCATACCAGTATCTCCACATGATATAGATGAACTGTCTGTAGATAGAAGACAATATCAGGTCTGAATAAAGTAACAATATTAACTGACTTGAAATTATTAGTATAATATTATGTATATTATTATATATTTGTTTTTTTGTCAGTAACAGCCCTGAAGGACAGGGTTAATTCAAAAGATGGTCTTGACAGAGGAAGAAAAAATTAAAAATTGAAAACCAGTCTACTAGCAGTGCAGTAGCAGCTAAATGGAAAATATCATGTTAGATGTGAGAAAACACTTTTTGGCTGATATCTAAATTTAAGCATGCATCATTTTAACAATGTAATGTGTATTATAGATGCCTGGTAATGAAACAATTGAGTTTTTTTTAACAGGTTTTGGTCATGATCATGACTTTTATTAGCCTACATCCTATGTTACTCTCACCCATTGTTGGCATCAGTTTTATAGTACTACTCAAAATCTACCTTGAAAGTTGGGGGGGGGGGGGGGGGTTTAAAGAAAAAGATGGGGGGGTTTTCAGAAAAGTCCATTTTGTGTCACGACGCGATGGAATTAGGCACTCTTCAATTTTGGGGCATATGAGGTTACTGGTATCGTCTTGAAGCTTATTCTTGATTTGCTTTTGGCAAATAAAATGCTTATTTGTCTTGAATGTAAGTCAAGATATTTGCAATTGGAAGAGGTGGGATACCCTGGTTTCAGATATGAAATTAGCCAGGGTTGGGTTGATTTAAATCAGTTGATTTTTTAAATTTAAATCAACTTGATTTTTTAAATAAAAATCAGTGATTTAAATCACTTTTTAAAAAATTTATTTTTATTCAGTTTTTACACATTTCAACATTCAGAATTCCTTTCCTTGGTTTCATAAAACAGATATAAGGTTTAGTAGACTAATATAATCATGCTTAAAAGTCTGCTTTCCCCCCTTTCACTGTAAAGTAATACAGTATTCAATTTACTTTTTTTTCCATAATTGAAATCAGAGCTGGGTTGATTTAAATCAGTTGATTTTTAAAATTTTAATCAACTTGATATTTAAAATAAAAATCAATGATTTAAATCCCTTTTCAAAAAAATGTATTCAGTTTTTACATATTTAAACATTCAGAATTCCTTTCCTTGGTTTTATTAAACGATATAAAGTTTAGTAGACTAATATAATCATGCTTAAAAGTCTTCTTTCCCCCCAGTCACTGTAAAATAATACAGTTCTCAATTTACTTTTTTTCATAATTGAAAACCAGGGTTGGATTGATTTAAATCAGTTGATTAAAAAAAAATTTTAATCAACTTGATTTTAAAAATAGAACTCAGTGATTTAAATCACTTTTAAAAAATGTATTCTGTTTTTACATCTTTAAACATTCAGAATTCCTTTCCTTGGTTTTATAAAACAGATATAAGGTTTAGTAGACTAAAATAATCATGCTTAAAAGTCTGCTTCCCCCCTGTCATTGTAAGTAGTAAAATAATACTGTATTCAATTTACTTTTTTTTCATAACTGAAATTAGCATTTTCTTTTTCTTTTTAGGCAAACACAAGCGCGCGCGCACACACACACACACTGTAATAAAATGCAAGTTTATCTATGCATAATTACCCCCCCCCCCCCCTTCCTTTTAGACTGACATTTTCTTCATTTTTTGTTTGCAGCCATAACTCACTGATATAGCAGATTAAGGCTTTCTAAAATTGCGGTTGCTTAAATTAATCATTAGTTAAAATAAAGACAATGCATTTTGCACTAAAAGAACTTACTTTTAGCCTCCAAAAATCCCAAACTGTGTCGACATTTTTTTTAAAATAAAAAAAATCCGATTTAAATAAAAAAAATCTGATTTAAATTTAAAAAATTGATTTTTTGGATTTTTATTTAAAAAATTTAAAAAATCACCAACCTTAAAATTAGCGGAAAAAAGACCATCTGCGCCTGGTGACTTCTAAAGGGTGAGAGCATAATTTTCATTTTTTGTGCTTTTAAAATCGGTTTTCTGTAAAATCCACACAAAAATGTTTTAATGGACTTAAGGGTTGTTGAGCCAAAAACCAAAAATTTGATAAAAATTAAAAACTGTGGTTTTTAATATTATATTTCATTATTTTGTCGAGCCCCTGATTTCACGACTATGCCTCACATTTTATGCTTAATAGTAATCTGATAAAAAATTGTTTTTCTCCTCTTTGTTTTCCCAGAGTTTTTGTCAGTGTGTCCCAGAGGTTTGGTTCCTTCTGTCGTTCACAATGGGAAACCCATCTATGAGTCCATTGTACTTGTTGAGTACATCGATGAAGTGTGGAAGAAGGAGGTCAACCTTCTGCCAGATGATCCTTATGACAGAGCCATGGCTAAAATCTGGGTAAGCTAGATATGGATTGTCTTATTCTCAGCAACGTCCTAGCCTTCTGGACCCCCAAAAAGTCAGTCCAATTCCTGGGCATCCTCTTTATTCAGTTTGTAAATTGTGGTTCAAGCAAATTTCGATTGCATCATAGTTTCATCAATGTTGTAGAGTTTTTACAATTTTCCATACCGTAATGTCAGTGAATATTATCAGAGTTCAGGGTCATTTTTATTTGTTTAGGTCTTTATTATGAAAATATTTTGAACCTTAACTTTAAGTTTAAGAGTTCCAAGTGCACATTTGAAATAACTGCCATTTGTGTACAGTAGGGCATTAACCCATTAAGCACCTGAGCTACGAGTATACTAGCAGCTGCCGCGCGGTTCCGTTCACCGAGCTATGACAATAGTCATATCAAAATACCAGTCCACAAAATCGAGTCTGAACCTCTTATCCAGGTTTCTGTTGAAAATAATAGGTTGCTCAGAGATGCCAACCAGTGCGATTTTACCTATTTTAGTACGATTTTTTTCAGAAAATACGCGAATACGACTTTTCATGAAAAAATACGCATCCTGAAATGAGAAAAATACGAGATTCAGCTTGGGTAAATAAACCTAATTATCTCAAGTCCCATGTTTTGTCAAAATAGTATCTGTAACGCGGAACTGGAATATTTGAAAACCAAATTCGATATGGTCAGTACGTTCAGTTTTGCCGGTCGCGATTGTGATATTATATTCATTCAGCTTTTCCCCGTCCGAGAGTACGTTTCACGTGAACAGGCAGCAGGCGAAAGTGTATTTCACCCCGAGGTGCGGTCTTGAAAATAAAGATCTACTTTCACTTCGTTACATCGAGAAGTTTGCCAGCAGTAGTCTGATAATGCAACATTTGTGACATGCAGGTTGTGCAGGATAAACGCTGTGTCGCCGTGCATATAAAATTTAATCAATACTCGGACTCCTCTCTGTGCTGTCACTTGTGGGAAAAAAAAGAAAAGAAAATACAAGCGTCGTCCGATTTTTAAATTATCTGGCTCGCCATCGTGACCCTTCAGTCAACCTGCGCGTATTTGCATCATAAATAAATCCGGCATTGTGTGAGCAAAGACCGTCTTTTGTGGGAGTAACGCCGTTGCGAAGTATAGGATTACGGAATAGGGGTGGGGATTATTGATTTTATAAAAAGATACACTGGGGGGGGGGGGGGGGGTGTGAAGGAAACACCAGAGGACAAAAACTGGGAAGCAAATTTCAGTATTTTGATTAGAGCTCTCTGCGAAGCGCGCTGTGGTGCAGGCCGTGTGTGGAATCAGGACCTGAGCATCCTCCATCTTCCAGAACTGGCGGTCGCATTGTTTTTGCTGTTGATGTTTTTGTAGCTGTTTTGTTTGGTTTTACGGGAAAGGGCTACTAACCCTTTGCCCAACCGACCTTAGTCGCGTTCAACGACATGCGCGGTACGGATACAGTGGTCCTATTCTCTGCTCCCTTGTCTCTTAGACAGGGCCCCGAGAACCACACAGGTGCTGTCCACTTGTAACTACTGTTAATGAAGTCTTGTCGGACGTTATTTCATCCTGGCTTCATTTCCTGAACATGCCATTGCAGAATTTTTATTGAAACGCTGGACCGACCGGGGTCAGAACTGTTCATGACTGAGCAAAGTAAACCTAAGATGTATGATTAGTGTGTTTATGACACATATTGCAGTAAAAATGTGAATATAATACTGTATCCAGCACAAAGGCAATTTGGTTTCTCTGACAAAAGTAACATCTATTGCATGGATTGTATTTTTAGCTGACAGCTGTATTGTTTGACGCAATCCCTACTGGCATATTTATGCTGTTTTTGCCAGTATGTGAAGATAATGTAACACTATACTGTACTTTCTTTTGGCGGCAGTGAAGCGTGTCGGTATCTCAGTAGTTGTGGAAAAAAAAAAATGTGTCACAACATCTTGGAGTCATGCCCTTGTCTATTCTTGGTCTTGTGGAGTTATTAACCGGTATCATATTAAAGCCTGTTCATTTGCCTTGCTTTTTTATTTTGAAAAATAAGATGTCCATTCATCTTAAATAGAAGTCGTGATATTTGCAATTGAAGGAGGTTGAGATTGCCTGGTGTAACAGTAAAATGAGTGAGAAAATGGCAACCAAAGTTTGATGATTGTCAAAGCATGAGTGACTTTGGAAACTGCAAATTTACATTTTTGTGGCTTTTCATCAACGTGTTTCTGTAAAATCCACACAGAAATGTGGTTTTCAAAGAGATATAAAAGGTAATGAGCCTGAAATAAAAAAAAATCGAATAAAATTGCCCAACAGGTGGAAAAATGTTGGTTTCTATAATGTTATTATTTTGATTAGCACGCCTGATGTCACCATTCTGTGGCTCAAATGTGTCTTGCATCATCTTTTTATTAGATGGTAAGAGATGTTATACTGCTTTTAACCTTTTTAGCCTTGACCTCCTGAGGCTTCCATGCCCCTCTGAGCTCCTGAGCGATTCATTCCTTCATTCATACTATCGTCAGAATCACAGTACATTTCTCATTCAGGGTAGTCTTCGTCATTACTTGCATCTAAATCAGAAAGATCTTCAAAATAATCGAAAATGTCCTGTGTAGTTAACACTGGTTTCTGTACTCGTTATGTGCTAGGTGTGCTGATTTAAGGATAGGGTCTCACGCGTCGATGTGCCGGTGGTTAGGCGTACGGGCAGTTTTACGCGACACCGATACATCAGTGACCAGGGCTCAACGTCAAAGGGTTAAGCATGCAAGAAGTGTAATTTTCTTTTCTTTTGACTTTTTCAATTTAACAACAAAAAATTTCTTTTTCTTTTCCCCAGGTTGACTTTATATCCAAAAAGATTGTCCCAGTTTTTTATGCCATTCTTCAGAAACAGGACAAAGCAGGACAGGAGACAGCGAAAGAGGCTTTCATGAAAAATCTGGAAACACTTACAGGTGCAATGTCCAAGCAAGGTCCATATTTCTTTGGCGCTAATTTTGGGTTTGTGGACATCATGTTGGTGCCCTACACTTTTCGGTTACGCCTGTTGGCTCACTATCGTGGTCTAGAAGTACCAACAAACGGCGTGTTTGAGCGTCTTCAAACATGGATGAAGGCTGCTCATTCTAGAGAGTCAGTGAAGTCAACCTTACCAGAATGGGAACGTTTAGTGGCAGTTTATCAGAGGTATGCTGACAATACAGCCAAGACAGAAGTGGCTGAGGCCATCAGAGCTGGAACCGCTTTGCCTTGAGTAAAAATTGGGTTTGTTGTTGTTCGGTTTTGGGTTTTTTCATTTTAATTAATTTTTCTTTTGTTATTGTATCATGCAAACAGAATGTTGTCTTGAGGTGAGGGATGTAGCCAGAGTTAGTTCTTAATCTGAGTTAAGAAGATCGAAGAATGTTACTTTTGCCTCTGTTTTTTACTAAAATTATTTTGTGAGATTGCAATTTGCCGCTGAAAATCAGTGAAGAAATCCATTTTCTAATTCACAGTTTGAGATTATACTGCTCACTGTCTGCTGTTTGTTGTGGTTAGGCTCTTTGCCATTACATAGAAGACATTAGTCTGATTTGGAGGTTCTTCATTGGACATTACTCTAAGATATTGAATAAGCGCCGTCCCCGCTGCTCCTTTCCTTATTCCAGATCCCCGGTTTAGTATTTTCCAGCTTGCCACTTCCGACAATCACATGAAACATTAGTATATATCTAGATCTAGGTTTTTGTCGCATAGCCCTGAAGCCGCCTGAATCGATCAATAACCTACATTATGATTAATTTATCAGGATGCCCGCCCGCTTACTAGATCTAGTGCTAGTAGATCTAGGCCTACTCTCGGCGTGGCGCGCTCAGCACTGGCTGCGGGGTTTCCACAAACTGGCTAAACTACACAGTTCGAAAGGAATGGCAGAAAGTGCTGGTTTCCAAGATAAAGATTCCAAATCTTATCTATTTTATAGACTTAAACCATGTCCTATTGCATCTAAGTTTGATAATGGTGCAAGATCAAGCCATGGGTGAAAACACAAAATTAGTGAAAAACATTGTGTTCAGGAACTTCGTGAATTTGAGGTATCCTTCCGATTTTTGTGAATGAACTGTACTGCCTACGTCATTGGAGCTATTGTAGCCTACTAGTTCTACTTCTTTGCATTACGTCCCCTTTCAATTTTTTCTCTGAAGGAGAAATAAAACAGATTTGTTCCTACTAGTACAGGGGTAAAAGGTTGAATGTGCCCCCCCCCCCCACCCCTTTATTAATTTTAGACCACTTGTCAACCCCGTTTTATCCAATACCTTACAGTATATCCCACTCAGCCACAGTAGGTCCTGATGGTCAGGGTTGAAGCAGCCTCAATTTAAATGATCTAATTTGTGTTGATGGAAGGGTACAACACTACAATGAATTAACCTTCCGCCTACTTTGATTTTTACCCTACACTGCTTACTTCAGTTTCATTTTTTAGGGTCACATATTTTTATATTGGAAAATACATTGTGTTTCCTTTTGTAGGTTGGACATTTTATTTATTTTATTTAGGAAAATAGATCTTTTATTGGATCGCACTATCAAAATATAAAGTAATTGCAGTGTTGGGGCTGATGATTATAGAATTCTCGGGGATAATGGAAGTATAAAGTCTAGGGTTTCACATGCTTCTTAGGCATTGGGAGGTCCAAGGTTTGAATCGCAAGCTAAACATGGAAGATTTCTTCGCAACAGACTTTTGAAAGATAATCCTAATGAGCAAAGCATAGTTGTAAATCTTAACAAGTAATTCAGAGTATAGGTGGAGACATAAATAGTATGTGAAATGAAATGACAAAGAGGGGTAAGTTTACTTATATTTATCATTCAAACAATGATTTCTGAGAAACTTTATTGACATACATTACATGTAGGTAAATCTTTTTTTCAAAACCAAAACAGACGTTGCAAAAGCATAATATAAGAGATGGGGCATTAAAAAAAAGAGCAAATGCTGATAGCATTTAAATGAAAGAAAATGACAAAGAGAGGTACAGTGTACTGTACCACAAGTGTATTGCATTCAAACCATGGTTTCAGAGGAGCTTCTGTGAAAACAGATATTGCATGAACATGTCAATATAAAACTTTTTTGGGAAAAAAAATGCAAATGCCAATAACATTCACAAGAAAGGAAAACAAAAAAGAGGGGTATAAAATGTACCGTACTGTATTACAAGTTTACATAGGCTATGAAAATTGTTGAAAGGAAAAACGGCAAACGTATGTCGTAATCTTAAGCTGTCCAAAGTTACTCTCTGAACTCAACTCGGTTTTCGCAGAGTACTGTAACGTGCTCCTTGCACAGGAAGTTGTTAGTGCTTTTCACACAAAAACGAAACTTCTTTCTAGTTGACCTTCCAGCTGCAAATGCCACACCTGCCTCTCTTCTGTTCTCCTGTTGTTGGTGCTCTGGTGGCTTTGGCCATTGTGGTAGGCTCTTTGTAGGCAGAAATTCCCATATTTTCAAACATTTTTTCATAAGGCACCTTAGCTAGCATCTGCGTTTATCGCGTCCGCGACCTGCGAATTTTGGCAATTTTTGGTCCGTGAATGGCGGCAGCGATTTTTTTTCAACACAAAAAGCTACTTACACTTCATAACATATTAGAGATGTATTTTGATAATTTTAAGGTGTCCATGTATTGTTATTTTCATGCGAAGAATGTAGGTATATTACATACTATATTTATATTACTGTTTGTCTTTTATTTTTTTCCCTCTTTGTTGTGTTTTAGTTTGTTGGTGTGTTAATTTTTTGTTGCTGTTTTTCTGATGTGCTGTTTTTCTATTTTTTGTGTTTATATAGCGTAATGTCATTTAATTTGATGTTGTTCCTACATTTTAACAAATGTAACTTATGTTAGAGCGTGCCTCCACCAAAACCGAATACTGACCTTGGCTGGCCCCTTGTGTGTTATTCCATAATTTACATGTAGTATCCAGTACTTTTTCTTGAATTACTCTTTAAAAAAAGGGTTAAAACGGCCAATCTTTGGGTAAGTGGACACACACCCTTATTTGTTATTTTTTATTGTTCTTTATGTGGTGTTCTAATTTTGATTTCATTCTTTTGTGAAACCTTTATTTTTCATGTTTTTACACTCTATGTGGCTACAAATGGTATTCTGGATGCTTAAAACAGAACATATTGAAATTCTTGTCCTTTAGATTAAGTTACCTCTATCAACAATATTTTGCTATATTATATGTATACATAATATTATATATACATATATATATATATATATATATATATACACACGTCGTAACAGAGAGTTGAAAGCTTGAACATTAAAGAATGGCAACTTTTATGGCAACTTTTGCCACATTTGTGGCAACTTTTGGAGGAAAAAAAATGGCAACAAACGCAGATGCTAGCCTTAGAGGACCTGAAGCTCTCAAAAGAATCAGATGTTTCGCAATATTGTGGAAAAGTAACAGATCCTTTGCTACAGTCCTTATCCTTATAAGTCTGCACGCTTTTGTCCTCGGACAACTACTCTTCAGTAAAAAAAATTTTCCACAACTCGGGAGGTGATAGTGGTGATGTCCAAAATGTTGAAAAGGAGCACCATTGGCCTGTGTTTTGTTGCTCTCTTTGTGGGGTAGGTGAGGCACATTTGGTCCATGGTGTCCTCACCACTTTTAGTGCAAATGTAGTCTGTAACAATGTTGGACTTCGTTTTGTTGCCTTCACCTGTTGCTGCCTCATCGTGGTCGACAACAAGAAGACGTTTTTGTTGCAATGCTCCTGATAGGAAACGAGTATGTGGTGCCCACAGAATCCAAATGACGAGTCGGACATCTCCAACTTCTTTTTTGTCCTTGAATTCTTTTGGAACAAATCGCTTGTTCCATCTCATGGTACCAATAGGTGTGATCGTTTTGGCTGACGGTCTCTCTGCAAGAGTTTTGTAAATGAAGAAGTTGTCCAATTTGGACATTTCTGCCCTCGTTCAGCCAAGGATGGCACAGTTACAGCTCGATGGATGCACCTTTACTTTGGCCACGCTCTCTTGGTACGCCTCCGGTATTCTAATACGACTGTTCAGGAAAAGAGAATGCGGTTGTTTTCTTATTCCCTTCTTTGCAAAGTATGAGTATGACCCAAAAAAAGAACACGACAGGTAAAAGTTTTAAATCAGTGTGAATATATATAATATAAATGTTGAAATGATTCTTCTGTGTCGCCTCGCAACGGAGCTGAATAAACCTTGTATTCCTATTTCGGAAGACAATGTAGGGGGGGGGGAGGGTTAAAGATTATCGGAAGATCTCTACACCTAAGCAAATTCATCAAAATTTTGTTTAATTGATATGTTTAGTGGCCTGAACTTCCTATTTTTAGCTGTTATTGTATGGCTTGCATATTTTCCCCTGTTTTTTATTTTTGTTAAAATGTGTTTTTCTTGTTTTGATGGCAACCATTGTTTTTGCTAGTCAGTATTTCTGCTCTTCTCCTGCTTCTGTACCTGGAATGTAGGTGTATATCCTAGGGCTTCCAGATTGTTTTTTCTGGAGAAAGTTTGTTCAGTTTTGTGGATTTTTGTGCTTCCTTGTACTTTTTGAACAAAGGTAATACAGTGGAGTCCACTTATAACGAGTCCTGAAATAACGAGAGGTCTCTTATAAAGACACTATTCTAAAACCCTGGGGGTTTTTTTCTTCTTTATCTTTGTAAATAAAATACTTCTATAGCGCAATCAGACAAACACGAGAGTCGGTTATAGCTGAATATTGCTTCTGCTGTGCTCAGGGCTTAGGCCATTTATTTTTATACACAATGTAAAACCTCGCCAGTTGAGAAACTTGTTGGTGATCTAGCAAAACAAAGAATCGGAGCGAATGAGTGGCTGTGGCCTGCAGAGACAAACAAAACGCATCGCGTGATAGGCCAGCCTAGTCTAGATTATCTAGGCCTACTATATACCTCTCACTTCTCTGTTGCGGGGATGGAGAGGTCACACTGCTGTGATGATAGAGCAAATGTAGTGTTGTTGGCAGGGTGTGGTATGTTCCCATTGTGCTCAAGCAGAGGGAACACTCCACAGGGTGTGGTGGGGTAGTGGACAACACAGCGGGCGAGTTAGCCTGGAGTCCTAGAGAACTTTCTGATCCCAAACACCGAGCTGTCAACATCGCTAGCGCTAGAGAAAGAAACCTGATTCTATCTTTGATCAAGTGAGACCTTGAGGTCATGTTAAAGTTAAACAAAACATCACTTGAGATAACAGAAAGAAATAAACAGAACACCAAACTCATAGATCAGGCCTACTATTTCCCTTGAATTTATTACTGGATCCCTTATAACGAGAATCCTTCTATAACGGACATTTCGCAACAGTCCCCGCCCTCTCGTTATAACAGGATACCACTGTACATAGCATAAAAGCTCGGTCCTTTCGTTACTGTTTTTTTGTACTTTATGTTGGTAATGGCCTGTTAATTACAACTGTCATCCTTTTTTGTCTTATTCTCGTGGAGAGAGGAAAGTATGTATTCAGAGTTTTGAATGCATGATTTACATCATGTATATATGATTTTATGATGATACTTCGTCCATTAGTGTTTGAAGTTGACCTACACATCTTCAGAGGAGAATATTTCTTTAGCAAAACAGAAGAATAATTTAATAAAGGTTGAGATAAATTATGTAGGCTTATTTTGCTATGGCCAACTTTTTGCTTCCCAGAGGACAGCTCAGAATACAATACTGCCGAAATGGGATTCAGAAATCGGGCATTGACACGACCAGCCCAGCGAAGTTGAGCCCTTTGATAATGTACATGTATGTATCTTGCATTGATAGAATGCACTCGCATAAACAAAATACTTTTTAACATTTTAACACCCCCACACACAAACATTGTCATGAGAATATACATGCTGCAGCAACTATTACTACTGTTATCTTACTGTACCTGTATTATGCTGGCAACTACTCAATTTGGTTAATTTATGAGGTGGGTTTCTCACTGTGGTAAAAATTGGAATGCAATATAGCCATATATGTAGTTGTATAAAATACATAGATCTTATGTTCCTGTACAGTTGACTCTGTTTAACATGAAATGCCCATTTGTCTCCATCTTCATTCTATGCATTGTAGCTTTCTAAATCTGCTTACCATGAACAAAATTCTGTGGTCCTGTGAAGTTTGTGTTTTCAGGGTTTCACCATAGAGTTACAAATGAAATTAGATTTTGCTTTTGACAGTGTCTTATTCTTATAATAAGTGAAAGTGCTGAGGTTTTTAAAAAAATCATAACGAACTTATCTGTTCTGAAGAACCCATAAATGCAGTTTTGGAATATACTTTTCCTGTTGTTTTTCTGGACCCAGTAGTTCCTGCGCTTTTGTCATTTTTATTGATGCCAGTTTGAAGGTGTTCAATAAAAGATGAATTGCTCTCACTTTCCTCTTTCTCTCTTATTCTGTTTGTCTGTCTGTCTATCTGTCTGTCTGTCTGTCTGTCTCTCTCTGCTTGCTTGCCTCCTCCTTTCACATGTATACACGCACACATGCCTGCACATGATGCATTCTGATCTCTTAATGTGTTGCTAATTTATACACATTGGTAAGAAAAGAATGGAGATGTAGACCTAAGTCTACACATCTGTTATTGCGGGGAAAGCTTTTGTCTAATAGGGGGAATTCTCTCACGCAACGACTGTAAAAAAAGAAAAAGCTTACTTATGACTTTGTGTTATATAAATTCATCTTGATTGAGATTCGACGTGTAGTGGCTAGTCACTGCAGCGTGGTTAGCGCTTTGCCATTGCATGCAGAAGACATGATTGTGATTCCTGTTTGAGGAGGTTTTTATTTTTAAAACTTTAGTTGCAGGAGGTTTTTAAAACTTTAGTTGCAGGGTTTTTAATCTCCTCCAGCTCAGATGACCCTGACGAGCATGGTTGAAGCAGCCCACCTACTGCATGTTCTAAAATATACATGAGGTTTACAAAATACAA